AATACATATAACATAAAATATATATTAATTGATTTATGTTATCAGTATGACTTCTTGTCAATAGTAGGCTATTAGTGGTTAAGGTTTTGGGGAATCCGTTGTTATACACAGATTTTCAACTGCCCAGGGGTCTTAGCACCTCTAACCCCTGTGTTATTCAAGGGTGGACTGTATAATCAGTTGTGTACAATAATTTGAACATTTTCTTTTAGATAGATATTGTCTGTAGGTGTTTTTCCAAGTTATTATGTATCATATTGCACATTCTATTTATTGCAGGAAACGACCAACATGATTATAACTCATATGGTTATATTTAATTACTAAAATCGAGATAGGAATACCTATTTTTATTTCAGATCTTTCATCTAAGATTATATATATACATATATACATATATATATTTTTTTCTTTTAGTTATTGTCTCTGGATGAAGAAATAGTTCTTGGCAAAATTTCAAAAAAATGGGCTGGATTTATGAGGGAACTATTCACCAATGCTGATAAATTTGGAATCCAGTTTCCATTGGATCTTGATGTTAAGATAAAAGCACTGATGCTTGGAGCAAGTTTCCTCATTGTAAGGCTACTTTTATTTTATTTAGCTTAAAATCCTATTTTCTGAGATTACCATTGCACCTTTGCTAATATTTTTGCTCAAATCTAGATTGACCACAAATTGTATTTTTTGGTCTAGTTTTAAGTCCCCAAAATCATATCATGGATTTGGTTTTCACATTGCAAAGGGTGTAAAAACTAGTGTCCTGTAAACATGATCACTGAAGTTGAAATCCTTGATGAAAAATGAGACTAAATTGCTAAAACTAGGAACAAAATGGCTTGTTCATTGTAACTTACTGTTATTTCCTACAATTTAAAAATGTTATAAGTTTCTTTTTGTAATCACTGTTAATTTGGAAACTATAGATATGTAGACATTTTAAGAAGGAAAATATTGCTCTTGATTATATTAGGGTCTTTGGAGCCAAATGAACATAAGAAATTACCTTCATTCTCTAAATATTATGAAATGATAAAAAATGGCAAGAGACATATGCAGGTCTGGGTCACACAATGCCTCATAAATAGTATTAAAAATTTGGAGAAACAGAAAAAAAAACAGATTAAGTAGTATATTGAATATAACTGAAGAAAAAGGGAACAAAGAAATGCGGTAGAGAAAAGGATTCATAACGTAGTAGAGAGAGACAAATCAATATGATAATCAAGAGTTCCAAATAAGATACGAGAACAGGTAACTCCTAAAAAAAATTTCAGAACCAAGAAATATGAACTCAGTGATACATAAAGGACAAATATCCTAAGTAATATAATTTAAAATTAACATCTAAATAGATGCTAAGAGTGAAGCAGAATAGCAAAGAAAAATAAGTAACCACAAAGGAAAGACAAATCACCTGCAAGCAATGAGACTGACAACTGACTTCTCAACAGAAACAGTGGAAGCCAGAAGACCGTAGAATGATATCTTCAAGGTACTGATTAAAAAACAATCTTGGGACGCCTGGATGGCTCAGTGGTTAAGGTCCGACTTTGGCTCAGGTCACGATCTCACAGTTGGTGGGTTTGAGCCCTGCATCGGGCTCTGTGCTGGCAGTTCAGAGCCTGGAGCCTGTTTCTGATTCTGTCTCCCTCTCTCTACCCTTCCCCCACTCGTGCTCCCTCCCTCTCTCTCTCTCTAAATAAACATTAAAAAAAATCTTAACTCTCACATTCTATTTTCTTCAAGACTATATCTTAAAGATGAAAGTAAAATAAATAAATTTGCATATCAAGAAACCCAGATTTTTACAACACCTAGATTATTGTAAAGTGTATACAACACTTCAGGAAGAAGGAGCATGCTCTGAAAACGATCATCTGAGGTTCAATAATATTCATGAGCAAATAAAATGCTAGCCACATTTGTTAATGTAAACATGTTTTTAAAAAGAAAATAATAGCAAATATCTAATTTGTGAGGTCAAAAAAAAACAAAACAAAAATACTAGCTAATAAAAATATATGAGTTACGAGAAGTTATTAGAATTAAAATGTTCTAAGGTCTTTGTATTGTTCAGGAGATAAGTTAAATGTGCATGTTAAAATGTCATGGGTAATGAGTAAAATAACAAAAAGACTGGAAATTTGAAACTAGTATAGAGGAAAAGTGGGAATAAAATACCAGAAAGCAAATAAACCACCAAACAAACAAAACCCACAGTGGGGGAAAAAGGAGAGAAAAGCATGGAGAAAGTTGGGGCAAAAAGAAATAGAAAATTGAAATGGTAGAAAATAATTATTCAGTTATATCAAGATATCAATTAAATATGTTCTATACAATTTTGTTTACAATATTCACAATAAATGTAAATGGGAAAAACTTGCAAGTTAAAAAATAGAAATTGTTAGGTTAGATTTTTAACATTTTTTTTTTTTTTACTATTTATTCATTTTTTGAGAGAAAGAGAGAGAGTGAGCATGAGTGGGGGAGGGGCAGAGAGAGAGGGAGACACAGAATCCGAAGCAGGCTGCAGGCTCTGAGCTGTCGGCAGGGATCCTGATGTGGGGCTTGAACCCACCAACCATGAGATCATGACCTGAGCCGAAGTCAGATGCCCTACTGACTGAGCCACCCAGGCGCCCCTAAATTAGATTTTTAAATTATCCCCAGGTTCTTAATGGGTGACAAATCTAAATTAATGAAAAAAAATGTAAAGAAAGAAAATATGGGTAAATGTATAACAGAAAAATACTAACCACAAAAGCTAGTAAAGCTAATACAAAAAAATTTTATTTTAAGACAAAAAAACATTAGGGATAGAGATCGAGAAGGTAACTACATTATTAATAAAAATTCCATTCAAAAGAAATATAATAATTCTTGACTTTGTGCCCCTAAGATCAATGTTATACAATGTTTATCAATATTTAACATTGAGAAAAATGTTATATTGTTAGAGAATGACAAGTTCATCATAGTGGGAAATTTATGCACCCCTTTCGATTTTTACTTGGTGTAGGAGACAGAAATATAGTAAAATTATTTAAAATTTGAACCAAAAAAAGTAAGGTTGATTTAATGGATGCATGTAGAACTTTGTGTTAAACAAGTAGATAATATAAGTTGTTCTCAAAAAAAGGTTTTTACAAGAATTATTCTCATAATGGGCCAAGAAATAAGTCTCAACAAATTTCAGGGAACTGGTATCACTTGGACCTTGGTGTCACAGCAAATAACATTAAATTAGAAATTGATTGGGGCGCCTGAGTGGCTTGGTCGGTTGAGCGTCTGACTTCGGCTCAGGTCATGATCTCACCGTCCGTGAGTTCGAGCCCTGCGTTGGGCTCTGTGCTGACAGCTCAGAGCCTGGAGCCTGTTATGGATTCTGTGTCTCCCTCTCTCTCTGCCCCTCCCCTGTTAATGCTCTGTTTCTCTCTGTCTTAAAAATAAATAAACGTTAAAAACAAAAATTTAAATTAGAAATTGATAAAGATACACATTTTAAAATATTTGGTATATATAGAAATGTGTACATAACTCAGGGGTAAAAAGTAACACATAATAAAATTTTAAAATATATCAAATTGTATACTAACTAAAATATTACACACCGAATCTTTTGGGATGCAAGTAAAGTTAAAGAGCAATGTATAACTGTAAATACTTGCTGAAGAAAAGAAGAAAAGTGGAAAATTAATGAGCTAACTTTCATCTCTAAAAGGTTTGTAAAAGAACAGAACAAACCCAAACCAAACATAAGGAAGGAGATGGTGAATTATTGACCAAAGATAAATGAACAAACAGCACCCACCCCTGGTCTCTAGATGGAAAGAATTTTTAAAGTAAATAAATCACAAAGTAACAAACTACTAAATTACAATACCTTAAACTTCTGTACCTTAAAACAAATTATAATATTAAATATTTAATAGCAAACAATAAAGGAAATATGTGCTTCAAATATGACCAAGGAATAAATAATATCCTTATATTAATATAAATTTTATTTAAATGAGAAAAAATATCAAATTCCCAACAGAAATGGAAAAGGAATATAAAAAATAATTCATACAACCATTAAACAGAGAATACAAATAACCAATAATCATAAGAAAATGTTTTCAAAAACATATGAAGAGAAGCAAAAAAAGAAAACAATGAAATACCCCTTTTCATTTTTTCTAATGACAAAGTCTCAATGCTGATGAAAGTTTAGGAAATCAGGCAGTCATGAGCTACAGGTACAATTTTGGGGAACAAACTGAAAACATCCATTAAAATTTTTTTTTCCATTAAAATTTTTAATGTTCATATATTTCATATGCTTTACCTTCTTCTAAAAAACTAATACAAATGCAGAAAAATAATTATGTGTACTCTAGTAAATAGCAATGTATACTCTCTGTAGCAAACATCACTCTAATAAATTAAAAACCTAAAACAACCTAAAATATACAGTATGAGATTTATTAAAACCACATTATGAGACATCTCTAAAACAGAACGTTAAAAACTCAAACTAAACGTTCAATAAATGAACTTTAATGGCATGAATACTCAGAATATATTATGCAGTAAAAATAATAGGTTATAAGCATATTATTATACCAATTGTGTGTGTCTGGAAAGACTTTGAATCAAAATATTAGTGGTAGTTTTGCAAGGATTGGAAATACAACGTTTTCCCTTCTCTATTCCTACACTTTTTTATATTAAGTATACATGATGAAAAAGTATACAAAAAATGAAGTAGAATTAGTTGCTGTTCTCTAAGGGCCTTTATATTCAAATTTATTATGTTCGTGTGTTTGAGAGTAGACAAATATTCATTCTTATTCCCTTAGAAGTTGCTTTCTTATAGATTTGATTCTCAGAATTCTCTTTTAATAGGTTTTATAATCATGTTATTATAACACAGGACCCTAAAATCACTCTCATGTCTAAGGCCTGCACCTTAAAAACCAACCTAATTACATTCCTTTTTCATTTTATTCTAGGACTACATGTACTTTGAACACTGGCCATAAGTTTTGCCAGCTTTCAGCAAAATTAAACAACTTTCACTGAGAATATTTAAATAAAGTTTTATTTCACTATAATTATTTGTATAAATTTCTTCTGCATAATAAACCACACCACAATTTAGGAACTTGAAGCGATCATTTTATTTAGCCCAGGATTCTGCTGTACAGTTCTCCAGGTCAAGACCTTGTTCACTCTTGCGTGTACAGTCAGTTAACAGATTGCTTGGGGACTCTCTCATCCCAGGTGGCCTCATTCATATGTTGTCCGAGACAATAGGAGCACCAAGCCTCGTATTTTACATCATCTAGGAGGCTAGCCAAAGCTTCTACACATGATAACTAACTCTGTTACAAAGGCATCAGGAACACAAGCTCAATGTTCAAGCTCATTTCAAGCCTCTGCTTCAGTTATGCTTACTAATGTCCCATTGGACAAAGCAGGTCACACAGCCAAGTCCAGATTCAAGGAATGGAAAAACAGACTCAATTTCTTTATGGGAGTCTCTGCAAAATACTACTTATTTGCAGCACAATATATTATTGTGACATTGTATAATATCACAATTAACAGAACAGGTGATGTTTCTTGATTTATGTTTGTTATAGACTGAATGTTTGCGTTCCCCAAAATGCATATGTTGAAATCCCCAGTGTGATTGTATTTGATAATGGCCTTTGGGATATGGCTAGGTCATGAGAGTGGAGCCCTCATGACAATGGTGCCATTTTACAAGAAGCACCAGAGAACTCCCCTGTGCTTTCACCATATAAAAACATAGCAAGTCACCAAACTCCACACCCAAAAAACAAATAATCCAGTGAAGAAATGGGCAGAAAACATGAATAGACACTTCTCTAAAGAAGACATCCAGATGGCCAACAGGCACATGAAAAGATGCTCAACGTTGCTCCTCATCAGGGAAATACAAATCAAAACCACACTCAGATATCACCTCACGCCAGTCAGAGTGGCCAAAAATGAACAAATCAGGACACTATAGATGCTGGAGAGGATGTGGAGAAACGGGAACCCTCTTGCACTGTTGGTGGGAATGCAAACTGGTGCAGCCACTCTGGAAAACAGTGTGGAGGTTCCTCAAAGAATTAAAAATAGACCTACCCTATGACCCAGCAGTAGCACTGCTAGGAATTTACCCAAGGGATACAGGAGTACTGATGCATAGGGGCACTTGTACTCCAATGTTTATAGCAGCACTCTCAACAATAGCCAAATTGTGGAAAAAGCCTAAATGTCCATCAACTGACGAATGGATAAAGAAATTGTGGTTTATATACACAATGGAGTACTACGTGGCAATGAGAAAGAATGAAATATGGCCCTTTGTAGCAACATGGATGGAACTGGAGAGTGTGATGCTAAGTGAAATAAGCCATACAGAGAAAG